CCGATATATTTACTATCGGGATCTACGTAACGGTCAGAATTGACTTCTTCGTATATTTCTGATTTCGCAGGTATTAAAAATATTCGCGGTTTAATGAGAAATTTGATTTCCATTTAACACAAATGTTATGGTCTATTTCACCCAATCAATATTACCCGATGAACACCAAAATTTGAAGGCTTCTGCCAAGAACTAAACTCTAGCCCCATGCTAACTTCCGCTTCGATTGGTCTATAATTCGACCTGTAGAGTAAATGCAAAATCAGGATTTTTTTTAGTTTTTGGTCCATTTCAACAACTAAATATTATGTGAACTCAAAAGCAAAAGGCTTCTATTGGTGCCCTAACCCCACCTCCACTCTAAATTTCGTTAAGATCGAGTCATATTTGCGATCTGTAGAGTGATTTCAAATTAATATGGACAGACGGATGGACATACATAGCTAGATCGACTCAGCTCGGCGAGATAGGAAGATCCATATATACTTTCCTATGTGGGAAACCAATGTTTCGAGGTGTTACATAATGTAAGCCCCAATCAAACTTATAATGCCCCCAACATATAGTGTTGTAGGGTATAAATATTATTAGGCATGGTTACATTCTTGATTCTATCATAATCATAGCTCTGTTAAAATGTAAATTTAGTCCACTAGTTCCCATTACTTGTATCAAAATTAAGAAACGTGTGATAATATTACTTCCTTCAAAAAGTGGCCAGCATTTTTGCATGTATTCCAAATGTATAAAATTGTCCTAATTTTTTCAAAAATGTAACGATTAATCCAACTACATTCGATTCAAAATAAAATAACATTAACTTATATCTAAATTTTGAATAATTCAAATGCCTTAGTACAAAAAAAAAATAGCTGAAACTTTACATTTTGTGTTTCGATCTTGTTTATTTTATGTTAACAAAGACTTTTCGATACGACATTTTTAAGGTTTTTGACCCAAATTTAATCCAAGTGAATTGAAAATGTATATTTCCGGTGTTAATTAGGTTGGTTTCTCCTTACTGAAACTGCTTGTGTAGATCCGCTAGGCAATAAATGATCCAGATGATCGAAGTCTCAGGGTATTTATCTGCCGGCTGACTTATACTTTCTAACTTGTTATATATGTGGTTTAACCACCTGCAAACAAATATTTAAAATTCTCACAGAAAATCCCCCTGTCTCCAAAAAAATCTATACAACTCATTTTCTGGAATATATTGTTTTGAAATAGACCATGCAAATGCTATACAAGATAAAGCTTTCCCAACCTTACCCCTTTGAATTAAGGATCCCCCATTTTTGTTTCCAACAAACCATTAAACAAAGGATAACTGTTTTAAAATAAATAATACGTTTTTTTTTTTTTTGTTTTGAAATATGAGTTAATATAACAAGTGATTTTATCTCGATACAGCTCTTCTTCCGAAAGAGTTTAATTGGTCTCTATTTTAATAATGCATTTGCGAAACTATTTAAAGTATTTTATATTGTTTTGAAATTGCCTTAGTATGGTATAGTTGAATCGGTTCCAATTATGCATCATTCTAACAAGAGAAGCTGTCATCATCAATGTATTTTTGTGTGTATGTATATCTAGTATGTTGAGTTTGACTCTATATATGTGCTAGCTAATGTTGTGTCATATGATTTATTTTATTGCCAACCATTTAAATTGAACAGAACTACAAAATTAATTGATAAAATAATGCAGTGATTTTGTGGGTTTTTTAACATTTTAATTTTAAGCAACATTTCATAATATTTGCTATTTCTGATCCATTTCATAATGTTTTGTATGGGTATGGTTGCCCGAATGATATACCATACACCAAGATGGTTACATAAGAAAATGTAAGACCATTTGTAATACCCTACACCACATAGTGGTAAGGGTATTATGTCATTGTGCATTTGTTTGTAACAGGGAGAAAGAAGCGAGATAGACTCATAGTTACTTTTGAGGATCTTCATGGAATCACTTTTTAAGTCGATTTATGCATGTCAATCCGTCCGTCCGTACATCTGCCCATCTATTCTGGTAAGAAAAAGGAGATGGCATTTATTATCCAATTAAGACGAAATTTTGCAAACAATGTTTGTATATTTCAAGCACGAACCCTATTAAAATTGGGGATAATCGGCTCCCATAGATATAGCACCCATATATCTTCAACCGATTTCAGGTAAATTGGGCACCTAATGGCTAATATAAATCCAAATGACCTGTATTTTGGTACATCCCACCGAACTCAGCCTGGAAGCAAATACATTAAATTTGGAGAAAATCGGTTCAGATATAGCTATAGCTCCCATGTATATGTTTCATACGATTTGGGGTTTTAAGTCCCTCACATGCGTAATATGCACTCCAGAAGAATGATATTTGGTACTCATATCAGATATTGCTCTAAAATACCTCTGCCAAATTTTATCGAGATCGGTTATAGCTCCCATATATATCTTTATACCAAATTAGGTTTATTGTCCACCAACTGGCTAAAATCAGCCCAAATGGACGGAATTTTGGCAATTACGATTAAATTCATCTTATAAAACAGTATTTTAAATTTGGTGTAAATTGGTTCAGATATAGCTATAGCTCCCATATATATGTTTTATCCGATTTGGAGTTTAAAGTCCCTCACAAGAATTCCACAACAATGATCTTTGGTACCAAATATCAGATACGGCTCCGAAATAAATGTATCAAATTTTCACAAGATCGGTTCAGATTTGGATATAGCTCCCATATATATCCTCAACCCATTTCATGTTAATTGTGCACCAAATGGCCAATATCAGTCCAAGTGACCTGAATTTGACATATCCGACCGAATTAAGGCGCAAGTACATTAATTTGGTGTTTAAGTCCCTCACTTTCGCAATATTCATTCGACAACAATTATATTTGGTACCAGTTATTAAATACAGACCAGAAATACCTTAGCGAACTTCGATTATCATCAGATTTGGACATAGATCCCACAAATATTCTCAACCGATGTCGGGTTAATTGTGCACCAAATGGCCAATATCGGTCCACATGACCTGAATTTGGCATAACCGATCAGAACATGGTCCTATTTGAGACATTTTCATGAGCGACACAAGTAAAGTTCCTGCTTATTTGGTTGGAAATTGTAACAAAAACAAAATGCCAAAAATCAGATGGTACTGCTCCATGACAAATCATTTTTTTAAAATAAGAAATTGGGACTCCAAATTGCGCAAATTATTATAGAAACCTGTAAATGCCGTACAACGGAATATATTCCTATATTTGGGGATTATATCTACACGCGGACCAATAAAGATCATCTCCTAGACATAAATGAAACGAAACTTAAAAAAATCTGTTTATAATGAAGCTAAAATCATCAAAATACCGAATATAGTGAGGTATCATGGGGCTGTTTTCTGTCCTAGGCTGTAGTATTCATTACGAACTTCAAATACCAAATTTGAAATAGTTTCCGTAAATAATGTCGCCAAAATCATAAAATTGCCGAATATCGGGAGGTGCCGCCATATGGGAGTTATACCAAGACTTTCTGTCTTATGCTGTAGTATCTATTATGAACTTCAAATACAAAATTTGTAACAGTTACGGTTAATAATGTCGATAAAATCATTAAAATACCGAGAGGTACCGTTATATGGGGGCTACACGAAGACGTTGACCTTCATGGTCCATTTGCTGTCTTAGGCTGTAGTATCCACTACCAACTTCAAATACCAAATTTGAAACCATTCCGATGAATAATATCGCTAAAATCATCAAAATATCGCATATCGGGAGGTACCGTTATATGGGGGCTATACGAAGACGTGGACCTACATGGCCCATTTTCAATACCAAAAGTCCTGCAGACATAATACACATTTGAGTAAATTTTATCAACTTACTTCATTTCGTTCGGAAGCTAAAGTGATTTCCACAGACGGACAGACGGATAGACGGATGGGCATTGTTAAATCGACATAGAATTTTATGCTGATCTAGAATATATATATACTTTGTGGGGTCTAAAATGTATATTTCGAGGTGTTACTATACCATACTATGGTGGAGGTATTTTGATGATTTTAGCCTACAGTCTGAGACAGAAAATGGGTCATGTAGGTCCACGTCTTCGTATAGCCCCCATACAACGGTTCCCTCCGATATTCGGTATTTTGATGATTTTAGCGACATTATTTACCGGAACTACTTCAAATTTAGTATTTGAAGTTCGTAATGAATACTACGGCCTACGACAGAAAATTGTATGTGCAGGCTTATGATAAAAGTTGCGTATGCAGGTCCACGTCGTCGTAATATATGGCTAGATTCGGTATTTTTAAGATTTAAGCAGAATTTTTAATGGATTTTAATTTTTTGAAAATTGTCAAATTTGTACCAAATGGTCAAAATTCGGCCCGGCCGAACTTACAGCCTTTTTTTTTAATATAAAATCAACAGTTGGTTCATGCCTGACTAATTTTCCCGTACCACTGTGCGGTGAATAAGATTAGAAACTAGTTCGTATGACATTCTAAATAGAATGTATTAAGAACTAATGAGAGATTTTTAGAACAACGGTCGGTTGCATTTGATGACATTTGATAAATAAGTTGTCGGGTTTTTTCTTCGTTCCTGCTATTCGAAAATATTCTTTTATGTTGAGGGTGGCCCAAACATTTTGAGTATGTGTGTGTGTGTGTGTGTTAGTTAGCAAACATTATTTAATTGTTTTCCAAAGAACTTCCAGTTTGATATAATAAAATGATTTCAGCCATCTTTGTTATTGTTTTCTTAGGCAATTACCAACGAATACCACCTACTTTGCATAATGTTATGCAGGGATTACTAGTCAATTTCAAAAGAATCTTTTTTGAAGAATCAACAATTACGTCCGGCACTGGTTTTGGTACCAACATGACAAGTATGAATTCTGGTTTAAGTGCCGGCGTGAAATGTATAACTTTCGTTTTTATTGCATCTTGTGCATACCTATATAAAGGAACTGAAATCAGTATCCGGCATCATTCAAACTTCGAATAATCAAAAGATTTTAATCGTCGCAAAAGATGCGTGCTTTCATTGTATTGTGCTTGGTGGCTGTTGCCTGTGCCGACAAATTGGGCTACAACTATCAACCCGTTGGCCACTCCGCAAGCGGATTATCCTTTACACCTGGCGCCAGTGCTTCGTACAGTGGTTCTTCTTACAGTGGAAATGCTGGCTCTTCTTTCGGTAGTGGTAGTGGTTCTTCCTTCGGCGCTGGTGCTGGTTCTTCCTTCGGTGCTGGTGCTGGTTCGTCTTATGGTGGTAATTATGGTGCTGCCAGTAACACAGTTGGTTCTTTCGCTGCTCCTGGTGCTACCCTCGAAAAGGAATTCTATACATTCACTGCCAACGATGCTGATTTCAATGAACCTGCTGCCTCCAACAACTACAACACCGCTGCCAAACAAAATCTCCGTGTTATCTTCATCAAGGGCCCCGAAAACAATGGCTTGGAAAATGCTGTCCTCGGTTTGGCAAAGCAAGCTGCTGAACAAAAAACTGCCATCTATGTTCTCAACAAACAACCTGATCTCTCTGGTTTGGCTGATAAATTGAACTCTGTCAACAGCAACGTCAACCACAAGCCCGAAGTTCACTTTGTCAAGTACCGTACCCCTGAAGATGCCGCCAACGCCCAACGTGCCATTCAAAGCCAATACGACAGTTTGGGTGGTACCTCTCAAAGCTTCAACGGTGGTGTTGCTCCCGCCTTGAACTTTGCCTCTCAAGCTTCTCATGGATCCTACGGTGCTGGTTCTGGTCAATCTTCCTACGGCGTCGGCTCTCAAGGAGCCTACAGCACCAACTCTGCCAGCTTTGCCCCATCTGTTGCTGCTCCCAGTGCTAACTACCTACCCGCTTCTCTTTTGCGTCGTCTCCGCCACAAATAAATTAATTATTAAAATTTAATAATTCATTTATTTAGTCTGGAGTATGATTAAAATCTTGAAATTTTTTTTGACCTTTTTTTTCGCGAAAAATAAAATTTTAAATTTTCACTAAAAATTTGCTACATTTATTTAATATTTTAAATGGGGTGTGGAGTATAGTGGTTATATACGATCTTAGAATGTTGGCAGGATTCGGGAGCAAAATAGGGAAAAGGCAAAAGACTTTGCACAAATCAAGTTTTGATAACTCATCAATTGCAGGTATGCTGAGCACTGCCATCTATCTATATTAATGAAAGAGTAAAGTAATTGACTAACTGACAGACTGACTGACTTTAGGATTCATCAACGCCCAGAGCGTCACACTTTGTACGAAAGGGTCAGATAAGGCTGGGTTTTTGAAAATTGGTACTAGAACGGAACGAAAAATATTAAAAGGTACTAAATATGGTACCGTTGGTATTTGAGGAAGCAGTTACTAATGGAGTGCATGATAGATGAACCAAGCGTTTTTTTGAAATTTACACCATAATTGTACGAAAAATTCTAATATGTACTACATTTGATACCAACGGTTGAAGCTAAAAACTTGATATTTGTAAGGTTCAGAAGTAGATTCGATGTAAGGAGGTAGTTTTGGAAGTGTGTACTCATGTACAGAAAAGTATGGGGGTATGAAGGAAGCTTGGGAAATGCGTACGTGTGTGTAGTAAGTTGCACTAAATTTGGTAGATGAGCTGTATTTCTGAAATTTGGAATGAAAGTCACTGGCGGAGTGCAGATACCAAAGATTTATAGGAAATTCGAACTTTAAATTTAGAAAAAGTTGAAATCTATATATATAAAGAGGAAAATGTTTGTTTGTAATTTATGGACTCGAAAACCGCTGAACAGATTTTTTAAATTCCATTTTGAACTGGAGATATAGCATCAGAATCGGAGCTACCTCCCAAAAATATGCACATATCTATTGATCGATTACATATACAGTCTCCAAATTTGGAATGCATAATGGAATTTTAAACAAAAATGAATTTTCCTAATTATATTGAAATCGGTTCAAATTTGGATATAGCTCCCATAAATATTTTCGGCCGATTTCATGAATTTGCTGCATTAAACACGCTGTGTAAACAACATTTCAATGACATTTAGAATGTCGGCGATTTCATGTATTTGATGCACCAAACACGCTATGTATCTCTAATTTCAATTAAATTTGGAATGCTTGACGGAATTTTAAAGGCATATACATTTGTCAAATTATATTCAAATCGGTTTAGATTTGATGTAGTTCTCATATTTTTTCCCGCCCGATTTATTTGATACACAAAACGATATGTGTGGTCGATTCCAATGAAATTTGGAATAAGTGACTAAATTCGGTAAACAAATAAATTTGCCAAATTATATTGAAATCGGTACAGATTTGGATATAACTCCCATATATATTTTCCACCGATTTCGTTTATTTGGAACACCAAACACGATATGTATGTTCTATTCAAATGAAATTTGGAATGAGTGACGGTATTTGAAAAGAAAATAAATTTGCTAATTTATATTCAAATCGGTTGAGGTTTAGGTATAGCTCCCATATACATATATATATATGTATATATATATATATATATATATATATATATATATATTTCGGCCGATTTCGTTTATGGTATACCCCAAACACGATACGTATGTCCGATTTCAATTAAATTCAGAATCTGTGGCGGAATTTGTTAAAAATAATAAACTTGACTATTTAATTAGAAATTGGTTAAGATTTGGTTATAGCTCCCGTATATATTTTCCGCCGATTTCACATATTTGACTCACCAAATACGGTATGTACCTTCCAAAATGATTGCCGTTTCCAGCACGCGTGGCAGATCGTGTATAGGGACCGTTCGTGTATGGGGACTAAATTTTCTCATGGTCAGTGTTACAATAGTAACGTTTTTTTATACCCTCCACTATACTATGGAGGGTATATTAACTTTGTCATTCCGTTTGTAACTCCTCGAAATACTCATGTCAGACCCAACAAAGTATATATATTCTTGATCAGCGTAAAATTCTAAGTCGATTTAGCGATGTCCGTCTGTCCGTCTGTCTGTCTGTCTGTCTGTCTGTCTGTCTGTCCGTCTGTCTGTTGTAATCACGCTATCTTTCGAACGAATTGAGATAGAAGGCTACAATTTTGCACACGTGTTTATTTTTCCAGTAGGCAGGTTAAGTTCGTTTTCACGTTTTCATATAGCCCCCATATAACGGTACCTCCCGATATTCGGTATTTTGATTATTTTAGCGACATTATTCACCGGAATTGTTTCAGCTTTGGTATTTGAAGTTTGAAATGGATACTACAGCCTATGACTGAAAATTATCTGTGTTTCAAATTTGGTATTTGAAGTTCGAAATGGATACTACAGGCTAAGACAGAAAATTGTCGGTGCAGGTCCACGTCTTCGTATAGCCCCCATTTAAAGGTACCTCCCGATATTCGGTATTTTGATGATTTTAGCGACATTATTCACCGGAATTGTTTCAAATTATTCACCGGAATTGTTTCAATATAACGGCTATATTCGGTATTTTTAAAATTTTAACAGAACTTTTTAAGGATTTAATTTCTTGAAAATTTCTAAATCCGTTCCAAATGGTGGAGGCTATTCACAGTTCGGCTTACTGCATTTTAAATTGTTAATTTTTGAATTTGTTTTTTTTTTAAACAAATATTCATATAAAAATTTTGAATGCATATAAAATCAAAAGGGGTAGCGAAGCGCACCGGGTTCAGCTAGTATTTTACTAATCTTCAAAAATGGAAAGCAAGTTAGATATCTGAAGGGGGTTTTGCTAATGTATACTTACTGAGGGACTAAATTTGTAACAATTGGGTTTAGACAAAATGAATGAATCTGAAATTTTGTATTGGGGTCTCTTTTGGTAGTTCGTAATGAAGAGGTTGTATTAGAAATGTGTATTAAAAGTGCACGAAAAGTACTAAATAGTATTACGTTTGTTACAATTACAACATTTCTCAGAATGTGAAAATGAATACAGGATGAGATGAAAAAACTGCAAACAAATTCAGACTGCATTTCAATGCCACTCATCCGACAACTGTTAAAATTATTCGAGTGACGGCTCATTATATTGTTTACATGGGTACAAAAGCATTTTGGTAAGAATTTTTCAGAAAAAAAGCTATTCGTGATTGAATACAAGCGTGATAGAGTGATTTCTTTATATTTGGCTGGAAAAACACAAGTGGCTATGGTTAGAGCATTCCAGAATTTTAATGTGAATAAATATTTTGTGTTTTGTGGACGGAAGAAAACAGTAACATCAACAGAAATGGTTCGAAAAGTAAAGAAACGACTTGATGGAAACCTGCGTTGTAGTGGCCGAAAAATGGCTCGTTAGCTGAACATATAGCAATATTCCATTCGGCAAATATTTGAAAATGAGCTCGGAGTAAAACCATTGAATTTCTACAAAGTGAAAGAACTTACACAGCAACAGAAAGAAAATAGACTCAAAAGAGCTAAAGAGTTGCTTCGCTTTGCCGAATGTGGTTAACTGCCGAATCGGTTTTCTCCTATGAAAAAACATTCGTTGTCCAGCAGCTTGTAAACAAACAGAATGATCGCGTTTACTTGCCAAGAGGTCAGCTGAAAATGTGCACCTTTGGTTGGCCACTACACCGTGGCATCAGAATAAATGCCGAATATTATCGCAAAAATATTCTGGAGGGTGTATTAAAGCCATGGGCACGCAAACATTTTGGCCGCAGACCTGGACATTCCAACAGGACTCACCCTGTACATAGGTTGCGAATAAGAAACGTTGTGCCACATTGTTTCATAAAGGTTATAGTCTACTTACTTTGAAATTTCTCAAAATTAAAGTACCTTGTGTAAATGGTATCGTAACTAAATAACTTATTACCTTAAATGCAACAATTCTAAATATCTAGCAAACAAGTTACAAAGTATCAGTCGGTATTGCCGCCAGAGATATACCCTCAGCCTATGTTCGATTATCTAAATATATTTTGACTAGTGTTAAGGTTATTCAAACGTTTGACCCTCTATGGAGCAGATCCCGAAGGAATGGGCCAATATTACCCATTTCCTATCGGACCCAAAATATGATATAAATATTTCGACAGATGTGCCAAGTCTAAATGGAATCGGATGTTAATTTGGCGATTTATGAGCTTCATGGGTACTCAAAATTTCAATATTTTGTGGGTGAGGTACTTGATGGAGTGGACCGATATTGTCCATTTTCACACCTGTCCTAGCACTGACGCAAATATTAGGATTCGCAAAGTCGGAGCAAATTCGGATTAGCCTTTCTCTTTCTGTGCAAAAAAATTATTTTTTTTTGAAAATTTCGACCTTTTGTGGGGGAGGTACCAGAAGGAGTGGGCCGATATTGTTCATCTTAACACAAGACCTTGGGTTAATATAAATATTGAGATGTGTGAAATTTGAAGACAGTCGGACTCTTACATAACATTTTATGAGAGTTGTAATTATTCAAAATTTTGACCATTTGTGGAGGAGGTACTTGATGGAGTGGACCGATATTGTCCATTTCCACACCTGTCCTAGCACTGACGCAAATATTAGGATTTGCAAAGTTGGAGCAAATTCGGATTATCCTTTCTCTTTCTGTGCAAAGAATATATTTTTTGAAAATTTCGACCTTTTGTGGGGGAGGTACCAGAAGGAGTGGACCGATATTGCCCATCTTCGAACTCGATCTAAGTTTGACAAAAATATTACGTTGTAGCCAATTTGGACCAAATCGGATACTCCCTTCGAGAGTTATCGTGCGCACCAGCCAGCCAGACAGACAGACAGACGGACGGACGGACGGACATCGCTAGATCGACTTCAAATGTTCTGAAACGGATTTGGTCCAAAGAGACCTAGGGTCTAAAACCGTTATTTCGACTAGGCACGTTTTGGCCGTATCAAATGATATATACCCTCTGTAGCCATATGGCTGAGGGTATAAAAAGGTAAAGTACGCAATATATGTTATAGCTGTCAATAAATAGCAATTGCTTTCGGCAAAAATTTCAAATTTTTCTTTTTTGTT